GACGGAGTGACGAGAATCGACGAAGTGACTTGATGGTGGATAATATGCGCAATGGTGACGACGTTGGCGCCATCGCGGAAACCGTGAGAAGGCTGTGCAGACCACAGTGCGAATTTTATTGCGTTCAGGGCTTCCTGAGTCAATCAGCAGCTAGGAGGAGTTTATGACGGCAGCGTCTCAAAGAGGCGGCTAAGAAAACGGCCTGTTGATTATCGTCCGTATATTGAAAACATACGAAAGGATAGTAGTACTCTTGCAGCGTACTAACACGGAAAGCTGCCTCAAGTTTCTCTAAGCTGTTTTCTCAGGAATGTTGATGATTGAAAATGAAAGGGAGAGAGAAACTTGAATGAGCAAGAGGAGGGGGAAGGAGGAAAGGGAAGATGGAGTAGCAGACATGTGTTATATTTCGCGAGATCGACGGCGGTGGTCGAAGCACTGGACTCGCGCTGATGGCGGCATGCTTCTGGCACGGCGCGGTAAAAAATTGAACGGCCAAGCTCGCTGACTGCCCTGACTCGCTGTTGCGACTCGCATTATGTCGGTGTAGGGTAGTGCGTTTTACAATACAAGATGGTATATGGGTGCTTAATGAGTGGTCAGGATACAGTATGGATAGAACAAACGAGATAAATTGGCAACAGTTTGTCACGAAAAGTCAAGTCTGTGCTTCCTGTCCGAGAATGGCGAAAGTGCAGCTTCACGTTACAAGAATTCCGCGTGACGAAACCAACCGCCACAACACCCACGCTCCCGCCACGCGCTTTCCCTTCCCCGCGCCACCTCCGCCCATCTCAGTTCCGCATAGTCCCCCGCCAACAACCCATCTGCCCCCTCCCTCCCGCTGAGCCAGGCCTCCCCCCTTCCCCGAGCTCCATTCCCGGTGCCCTTTGCACGGGTTGTACTGTACACTGTACTCCATTTCCCCTTTCTCCCCAAGATCGCAACATACGCGCAAGCACATGTACCCCCATTCACCATTCCCCTCCCCAGGTGCTCCCCCAGTGCTTCTGGTCCCTCCCACCCGTGTTGCTTCCTCTCCCCTCCTTCCCCTACTTTCCCTTCTTCCTAGGCTGCTCCGTCCCTAGTTTCCGCTTCAACAAACTTCACTCACTGGTGTTTTTTTCGTTTTCCCTGTTACCCTGTCCTCCTCCCACTACACGTTTGTTAGGTTTCCTTCCCTTGTGTTGTTGACGGACCTAAACCGTTTACAGCATTTGCCGGCGCTTTTTTTAGATAATTACCTATGCGGTTTCGCCTCCATGGATTTCACAATCGTATGCTGCAGGCGTCCTTATTATTCGTGAGCTAGACTTGACTTTAAGCTGGATAATTGGCCCTGAATAGAAGTATTTAGCATAGCAGCTCCTTTGATATATATAGCTTAATAGGGGTATTTTACCCCTATTTAGGGTTGCGTGAAGCTGGGGGAGCCAATGGCTGTCGTGTCGGACGAGCCGATAGAAGTGAAGTTTCGGTTAGCGGACGGATCGGACATCGGTCCAAATAAGTTCGAGCAGGAGGCTACTGTCTTGTCGCTCAAGGAAAAGATACTTGCTCAATGGCCCGGAGGTATTTAAGCTATGGATTTTTATGTACTACTTTTTTCGTTGACTTGGTGTGGTTACTTCCTTTGCTGTGCTCTTCTGCCAGCCGTCTCTGCGTGCTTGTTTAGTCTCCACGGTTTGTTCCACATGCCACGCTAGCGTCGTTATTCTCGCTTGTTTTTCTCGTACCATTCCGACGACGCCATATCCATGCCTGTTCAGACTGAAGTCTTCCTCTTGACATAAGTTAACGTCACTCCTGTGTCCCCATCACCCGCCTGCGTATGAGCTACCTTCAGTCACGCCCGGCGGTCGCATACGGTTGCCGCTATCTTACGTTGCGCCTTTCTTTTTCGTGCCACGCTGATCGTTTCTCCTTTCCCTACGATAACACCCCCTAAAACAGAATTGAAAGCATTTCGCAAAACTACTCAATGTATGCTTTCCTATCGGAAGGTCGCGAATATAATTCCGCTCTCCCACATCTGTTCCCGATTCCTTTGCTCTGCAGAGGGGGGTCCAAAATCGGTGAATGAGATTACCCTTATTAACGCCGGGAGATTGCTGGAGAATACTAAGACGCTGTCGGAGTCTCGTGTTCCTGTGAGCGAGATCGTAGGCACTCCGATCACAATGCACGTCGTCGTTCACCCAGCTCAAGCAGACAAAACCGCAGGTACCCGTTCTCTCTCCCACCTCTCTCTCTCTCTCTCTCTCTCTCTCTCTCTCTCTCTCTCTGTCTCTCTCTCTCTCCCTCTCTCTCTCCCTCTCCCTCTCCCTCTCTCTCTCCCTCTCCGCCTCTCCCTCTCCCACTCCCTCTCCCACTCCCACTGACTCTCCCTCTCCCTCTCCCGCTCTCGCTCCCGCTCCCTCCTCTCCCTCCCCTTCCCCCCCGCCTCTCCCTCCGCCTCCCCTTCCCCCTCCACCTCCACCTCCCTGTCCTCTCCCCCCCCTCTTCCCACCACCCCCCCCCCCCCCCCCCCCCCCCCCCCCCCTCTCTCGCTCTCCCTCTCTTTCACTCTTCCTCTCGCACTCTTATCTACTTCATTTCTCTCCGTTTTGTCTCACCCCTCCCACCCGAGCACCCCTTTCTGTGTCGGGAATTCTTGTCTTTTTCTGTGTCGGCATTCCTTCGCGCTCCCTCTCGCTCATCGTACTCACTCTCCATGCCTTCCCTTTGATGCTTGCGTTCCGCGGCGTTTCCTGCGTCGTTTTCACATCTCTACTTTCGTCTGACCACCTCCTTCTGTTTGTTCTGTCCGCCTCTCCACCTGCCATCCCCCTATCTTTCTTCCTTCTGTTCCTCCTAACCCCCAATTTCTGTCCTCTCTCTCTCTCTCTCTCTCTCTCTCTCTCTCTCTCTCTCTCTCTCTCTCTCTCTCTCTCTCCCTCTCTCTCTCCCCCCCCTCTCTCTCTCTCTCTCTTCCTCCCTCTCTCTTTGTTCCTTGCACTTGTGTCCCCCCCAACACCCCTGCTTTCCACCCCTGGCACTCCCCCTCTTCCCCCCTCCATATCTTCTATTTGCAGCAACACAACAACCAGCTGATGCAGCCTCAGGCAGATGTGGTTGCACCATTCTTTGATCTCGCCGTCCACCATCATTTCGCGAGGTTCCCAACTACTGGTCGAAGCTGCAAATCAATTATGATGAGATGCCCTGTGTAGATGCCTACTTTTGCTTTATTAGACTAATGTATGAGGAACTGCTGTCCGCTTGTAAGAAAGTTTTTTTCTTGTAGCTAACACAAGTCTTAATTTCAGGTGTCCACATGCTGAATCGGAGAATGTTATTTATGTGCTCAGTCTGTTCCCCAGTCTATGAAATACTTCACCAGTTTTTATCTTACCAACCGTTACATCAATCAGCTCAATCAGTCAACTTGATCATTTCAAGCAAGCTGGACGAGTCATCCACCATCTCCAACTAGATCACAGGTTTCCACACTGAGGCCATTGTTTCTGAAGATGAGCAATGTTAGAGCTTTTGTGTAAACCAAATGGCAGATAAAATTACGATGAAAAACAGTACAAGTCAACTCGTCAGCTTCATAATAAAGAAAACATACAATCAGATACTGTTAACACTAGCATACTGCTAAAACAGGCGCAGACCAGAGCAAACCTGGCGAAGGTCTATACAGAGCAGAATTTATTTAACCGCCAAACCCATAGAGCGTGCGGCCTTGGCGTTTCAAAGCATAGACGACATCCATGGCGGTAACGGTCTTCCGGCGAGCGTGCTCAGTGTACGTCACAGCGTCTCTGATAACATTCTCAAGAAAGACCTTAAGCACGCCTCGAGTCTCTTCATAAATCAGGCCACTGATGCGCTTGACTCCGCCACGCCTTGCGAGACGACGGATAGCCGGCTTGGTGATGCCCTGGATATTATCGCGAAGCACCTTTCTGTGTCGCTTGGCTCCGCCCTTTCCAAGACCCTTGCCACCCTTTCCACGGCCTGACATGGTGTGACAAGAGAAACTATCAACGGAAGGAAATGCCTACGAACTGAAGGAAAGCTGCACGTAGTTGATGCTTGAGAAAGTTGATGGGGAAATGAAGGTTGCAGTTATAAGTTTGGAACAGAAGCGCGATTGATATACTGGCAGCTGCTTCTGCTAGTTGTGATGTGATGGAGAAGGAAAAGGCGAAGACAGGTCACAGGCAGGGGAGCAGGGCTGCACGGACTTGCTTGGCTTCGCCTACTCCGAGCCAAAGCTCCAAAGCAAATTGTTCGGACGCGAGATTCGAGCTTGGTTCGGCAGGCACGAAGTAGTGGCCTGGGTCACCGCAGTTTGTGCTGAACAAAATTGGTTCTTCGCTGATCGTAACCGTTGATACAGCTGTCGTGCTTTGACGGTCGATACTCGTTTCGGTTTGGAGAAGCTCTTGTCGACAAGCGTCGATAGTTCCGAGATCTACGGCTGGACGCAGATCTCGTCGACCCGAGTGATGAACGCCCATTCGTCACTTCACAATCAAGAAAACACGGGTTAACAAAGTCCTCGTTTTGCATTTAAAAATCCGCCAACAGAAATAACATAGACAGTAGCAAAGTGCAAAACGCAACTGCCTTCATAGATATTACCGTAGTCACCACACCATTTGAGTTCCGGATAGTGGAGTGGACCACCTTTTGTGTTTCAATAATCGAAGGTAGCAAAAGGAGTTAAGCTGTTAACAAAAACTATGCTGTAAACGTGGAGAAGTGGCTAATAAGGATCGCCAACCAGCAAGGAGCTCGTTGAAACACGCCATACGTGTGGAGACACATACCCCCAACACAATACTACTGACCGACTCTTAGGTGCCGACAATAGAGGCATTAACTAAAGTGTACTGATCCTTGAGGAGAAGCCTCCAAGCTAATGATTCCCATTGGATAGCACTTCTTACGGTACAACCGTACAACTCTTTGGATACACGTCACATCACCACTGTTAATCCGCAAAATCAGTCTTCTTTCACGTAACGATTCTTCCTTTGGCCGAAGAGGGCACGCTGAGACATTACAGAGAAATAAGAGGAAAAGGTTTCAGGAAAACATGAAGGTCTCATGGTACCAGAAATTGTTTGCAGAACTGGATAGTGATGATGCTTATGGAAACCATCAGTGACTCACTATATGCACATGGTGGGCACAGATATTGCTTGCAGACTTAGCCCTTGGCAACTACCCCAACAAAAATAATCTCCGTACAATTGACATAACTGTAGGTTCCGTCATGTACGTGACGTTGCTGCATACCTGGAATATTTGCGAGAAGGCTTTTGGCTTGGTGAGGAACTTTATGTAGGTAGAGGTGTTGGATCTGCTAGCAGGCACCTCTCTCACTCGTGGCACGAGAAATTGCGCGACCTGCGACAGAACGAAAGTGGGGGGGAAGGGAGAAGAGAGATGGGGGGGTAAAAGGGGGAGGAAGGTGAACAAAGTATAGACTTATGGCGTAGGTGGAGGTGTTGGCGCCACTAGCATGCACCTCTCGTTCTCGTGGCACAAGGAACCTAGCGACCTGTGGGAGCATCCCTAGGTTCAATTATTGAATGTGGTTTTCTACCAACTCTGCACCCGCCCACTGCACTGCACTGCACCGCACCGCACTGCACCTTGATGCACGGATGCACTGCACCAATCAACACGTACCTCCTCTGCAGGCTCTGCCAGGGCGTTGATAAAGAATTTGGCCTGCAGAGACATACAGATTCACGTTGGGAGAAGGGTGTGCTGCACCGCACTGCACTGCACTGCACCAATCAAGCACGTACCTCCTCTGCTGGCTCTGCCAGGGCGTTGATGAAAAACTTGGCCTGCAGAGGGGAGGGCCATACAAATTCATGTTAAAAAGAGGTAAAAGAAAAAGATGGGAAAAACAGCGAGGCAGGTGTGGCATGTGCCGCACGACCGAACCAGGGGGAGGGATAGAACAGTCACAACAGGGGGTGTGTCAAATCACTTTTGAGACTAGTCATAAGGGGCAGGGATCCCAGAGACGACAAAGCAGAAGACACAGGAGCCTACAGGCTACTCCCCTCACCTGCGGAGTGTTGGCGCCTGACATGAGCAGGTCTGTGGTCACCATGCCGGGCTGATGGGAAGGGGGAGGGGGAGGAGGGGGTGAAGCGGGGTAAGCCCTTAAAGGAATGCATTCAAGTGCCTGGAGTGTTGGCGCCGGACATGAGCAGGTCTGTGGTGACCATGCCGGGCTGATGGGAAGGGGGGCTGGGAGGGGGAGGTGGAGTGAATGGAGTAAGAAAATGCACTCGGGTGCCGGGAGTGTTGCTGCCCGCCTGACATGAGCAGATTAGTGGTCACCATACCGGGCTGATGGGAAGCTGGAAGTGGGGAAAGGGAGGGAAGAAGAGAAAGGTGAGAGGTTAGAGTGGAGGGTGGGGGCAGAGAGAAAACAAGACATCCTTTTTTTACCCAGTCAGGACTCACCGAGAGGTTGTGCACCACGTCGTTGGGGAGCTTGAGCATCTTGAGCTCTGACAGGTTGAGCTTGAGCGTCTAGGTGTGGTGGTTAAGCAGGTGGGGCGCGTGTGTGTGTATGGGGTAACCACCCCACCAAGACGCCATCACTCACCGAGAGGTTGTGCACGACCACGTTGGGGAGGTTGAGCATCTTGAGCTCCGCGGGAGTCACTTGGTGAAGTGAGCGAAACTGTGCTTGGTGGTACTCTGCAGCTGGGCTTGCATGCAGCGTGGGTATTAGTGGGTGGAGGAGTTTTCAGATGGGCTGTGACTCACCGAGAGGTTGTGCACAACAACGTTGGGAAGCTTGAGCATCTTGAGCTCCGCCTGGAGTGACTACTTGGTGAACTGGGGTGGAGACAAGAGTAGTCTCACCAGGAACGCTGGCACGGGGAGTGGCAGGAGCATACCGAGAGGTTGTGCACGACGACATTGGGGAGCTTGAGCATCTTGAGCTCCGCTTGCAATGACTTGGTGAACTGCGCGAGGCTGCGCTTGGTTGCTCCGTACGCTGCGAAGCTGATAGGGTGGAGGAGATGAAGGTACAAAAGCGGGGATAAGGGAGCACAGGGAGAAAGGGAAGCAACAGGAGGGTGTGTCTCCGCCTGGAGTGACTTGGTGAACTGCGCCAGGCTGCGCTTGAGTCAGGCTGCGCCAGGCTGTACAAAGAGTGTGGCGTGTGAGCGGCTACGAATCCACTCTCCCACTCACCGCGGAGTGGCGTTGCCACCCCACCTCGCGCCTGGTTGGCAGACCCACCGCCATCCATGTTGACATTATGTCCCCACTGGGCTGGTCCCTCCCTCATGGGGCGCATGTCACATGGTGTGTGTGCTACAGGGTACAGGGCAGACAGCGAGCAACCAATGCACTCACCGCGGAGTGGCGTTGCCATCAGCCCCACGGCCATCCATGTTGACATTATGTCCCCACTGGGCTGGTCCCTCCCTCATGGGGCGCATGGCACATGGTGTGTGTGCTACAGGGTACAGGGCAGACAGCGAGCAACCAATGCACTCACCGCGGAGTGGCGTTGCCATCAGCCCCACGGCCATCCATGTTGACATTATGTCCCCACTGGGCTGGTCCCTAATGGGGCGCATGGCACATGGTGTGTGTGCTACAGGGTACAGGGCAGACAGCGAGCAACTCATGCACTCACCGCGGAGTGGCGTTGCCATCGGCACCAGCACCGCAAGCCGCATATGCCTGCTCCTCAAGCACTCACCGCTGGGTGGCGTTCCCATCAGCCCCAGCACCATCCATGTTGAATATGTGGCCCCCACTGGGCTGCCTGCTCCCTCATGTCCTCCTAAGGCGCATGGCGCATAGTGTGTGTGCTAAACGGTACAGACAGAGCAGGGCGGACCTACAGCAACCGGACTCACTCACCGGGGGTTGGCGTTGCCGTCAGCCCCAGCACCATCCATGTTGAAAATGTGGCCCCCACCGGGTTGATGTGTGTGTATGTGGTACAGATACAGACTGTGTTCAGACAGATTCCAGGGTAACTCACTCACCGCGGAGTAGCATTGCCGTCAGCCCCAGCACCATCCATGTTGAAAATGTGGCCCCCACCGGGTTGATCCCTCATCAGCCGCATGGCCTGGCGGCAGCACAGCATGACGCCCAGCACGTTGGTTCGCACTATCTCCCTATGTGGAGGGAGGAATGGAGGGCGGGGGAAGAGAGGGGAGGGAGGTAGGAGATTGGAGGCAGCAGCATTGGCAGCACAGCACGACGCGTATTTCCAATGTTGCTGCATCTGCCGCCTCCACCAGGGGTGCGTGCTCATACGCATTGGAACCTCATGATCCTTCTAGCTCTCACCGCGCTATCTATGGCTATCCCGCACCTTCTGCTTCCTTGCTCTCTACTCACTCGATAGCTGCATCCCCCGCCTCCACCAGGGGTGCGTACTCGTACGCGTTGGAGCCTGCGTTGTTGATCTGCCATGCACCCATGCACCCATGCACCCATGTCCCATGCACCCATGCACACGTGCACGGTGCACACATGCATACATGCACACTTGCACCCACGCACGAACAAATTGAGAGAAAGAACACAGGCACAAAATGAAGTCAACTAAGGTCAACACCACACGCAGGAGGTCAACTCTCATGTCAACTCAGTTCAACTCCAAGTAAAGTCACTTCAGCTCAAGTCAACTCACACACACATTCACGGAGCCGAGTGGTTTGAGATTAGTCAGATCGAGTCAGCTCTCAGATCGATGCGCGCCAACACACGTCAACTCAAGTCAACGCGAGTCAACATGGTCAACTCACCCACACATCCACGGAGCCAAGGGATTTGACAGCAAAGTCAGATCGAGTCAAATCTCAGGTCAACTCAAGTTAACGCAGGTCAACGCAGGTCAACTCAAGTCAACTCACCCACACATCCACAGAGCCAAGGGATTTGACTGCAAAGTCAGCCAGAGCCTTCACATCGTCCCCTTTAGAGACATCGCATGCAATGCCCTGGAGTGGGGAGGGGTGTGGTGGGGCGCAGTAGGTTTGCGAAGCGAAGGAGTGCGGTGGGATATGGGAAGTGAAGGAGGTAAGTGACGGAACGGCGAAGAGCAGCGAGAACTGAGGAATTCAAGAGAAAATTCATGAACTAACACACAACCTGACACGATCTGATTCATAACCTGACACACCATACTCACTGCCACGCCACCTTCTCTGGCCCACTCCTTACTACCACTCGCCACCACTCCCCATCACTCACTCTTCACCACTCTCCACCACTCACCACCACGTTCTCTTTGCCAAACTCCTTCTGCAGTTGAGCAACCACATCGTCCACCCTCTCCCCTGCATCTCATGGCAAACGCACAGGATAGCACACACCACTCACTACCATTCCCTACCACTCTCCACTACTCCCCACCACTCTCAACCACTCACCACCACATTATCCTTGCCAAATTCCTTCTGCAGTTGAGCAACCACATCGTCCACCCTCTCGCCTGCATGCACGCAAGGCAAAGATGAGAACGAGTAAGAAGGCAAGCAAAGACAAAAGGGCAAAGACGACAATTCAGGCCATCCACTATGCCTTTTGATTCGACTCAAAAGTCAACTTGGTTTGACTTTCCTGTACCTAGCATTGCACTACTAGGTTGACATCCTGTGCAAAGTTGACTTTTGAGTCGACTCGAAATTCAGCTGGGCAAGGTCGCTAGATAACAAAACATAGCAGCACTGTAGACCACCACCACAAAACAACACCACTCTCCTCGCACCTGATCGTGAGGATACCATGAATTTGTGTTTCCAACCACACATCATCGCACACCACCACACTCTATTCCTCTCTCACCTGATCGTGAGCACACCACGACTCTGTCTCCCGCCCTCAGGAACTCACGCACCAATGCCAGGCCGATGCCTTGATTGGGGGAGGAGGAAGGGTGAGGATGGGGAGGGGAAGGAATAGGGGAGAGGAAGGCAGGGGAAAGGCAGATAACAAGTTGAGGACACACCACACCACCACCAGCACCACAACCACGACTCTGTCTCCCGCCCTCAGGAACCCACGCACCAATGCCAGGCCGATGCCTTGTTTTTTTTCCGGCGGGGGGGAGAGAGGCAGGGGAAAATTGGGGGGGGGGGGGGGGGTGGTTCAGAGAAGTCTCAGGGATTTGGAAGTGGGAAGGGGAAAAGGGGGGGAAGGGGGAGAAAGGGGAGGTGGGGGGGAGGGTAAAAAGGACAGTCCCTAGCCTGATAAGCGATAAATAGATATTGTTATCAACTCATTAAAGAGGGGGGGTGGAGCGGGAAAGGGGGGTTGGGGATGGGCGGATCATTGGCTCCGCATTCGCCGCTTGTTGACAACTCATAACGCGCTACGGCCCCTAGATTGATCCCGAGGCGACCCACAAAGCGGTACAGCCAACTACGCTGACCTTTAGTCGATCCGGTAACAACGACGTTGTACGACTTGCTAACTCCCGCGCCGCCGCCAGGAGTCGCCGACGTCGCAGGCTTGTCGCTCACGGCTGAGGCGACGACGCGCAGCGCCGTCGCACGGCGCTCGCACACGCCCGCATTCGTCGCAGGCGATACGGGGATGCGACGAGAGGCGAGCGACGAATATACTGGCTGGCCGCTAACAAACACCGTCGAGGGACCAACGCGTTTCTGCCACGTGGCAGACGACGACAGGTTCGCGTGGATTGCCGCGACCGAAGCGTTAATTGCGGTGGCCATGGCGGCGGAAATGGCGCTGAGCGAAGAGCTAAGAGACTGAGAACTGACAAGATAGGCAAAGTGGGGAATCGTGGTGCGAATCACAAAGATACATCACTCACGTACGCGTTACAGTTAACTCGCTTTTGGTCTGTGCATCCATGAAAGCACACGTACTAACATCCAAACTGTTAATGAAGGCGAAATTACTTTCGGCAGCTTATTCTTCTAATCCATACATCCATCCGATCCGAGACAAACTGAATATTCCTAAGCAGGAACACATTTGCAAGTCCAATATCGGTTATCGGTAACTAGAAGCCAGCACCCGACACCACCTCGCCGACAGTCCGCCCGTACTGCGGCCCGCCGCTGCGATAAGCGAAGAGATTACGGTGTTGTTTTGTTCACTCAAATTCTACTACCGTACCAGTGGTAACTACCTAGAAACCAGCGCCTGAGACCTTCTCCCCGACAGTCTGGCCGTACTGCGGCCCGCCGCTGCGATACGCGAAGAGGTAGTCGATTGTGAGACCCGTGAGGGGATGGGGGATGATCCCAAGGTCCTTGAATGTGAGCGCTGGGGGGAAGGGCGAGGACGAAAAAGGAAGTAACAGTGGGAGGGGTAAAGAGGACAAAGAAAGTGAGCCAGGCAAAGTGGTCGCCAATGGTGAGACCAGTGAGAGGGCACGGGATGATGAGGTGATGTGAAGTACTTGAATGTGAGGGTGATGGTGAGGAGAAGGGAGATGGAAGAAGAAAACCAAGACATGAACCACGCGGTGAGAGGAAGAGAACAAGAGGGAGCAATGAGGCAGTTGGTGGTTGAGGCCCTTGAGAGGATGCGGGATGAGCCCAAGGTCCTTGGTGATAGGGGGAAACGATGGGGAAGGGATGCAAAGCGAGGCAATGGATGGGGGAAAGGGGGAAGGAAGCGGGGAAAGTGAAGGGAAGAGGTAGTGACGGGTCAGGCTCAAGCGCAGGAGGGGCGCGTGAGGAGGGGAGCGTGGACGGTAGTGGCCGGGATGCGAAGACGCATGACACATTATTGCGAGGGGAAAAGGATTTCAGACAATGAGAAGAATCTGTTGTTTGAGAACTCTCAAAAACCGAATTCTAAAAAAAACAGACTCAGTGGCCGGGATGCGAAGACGCATGACGCATTACTGCGAGGCGAAAAGGATTTCAGACAATGAGAAGCCGTGTAAAGACCAATGGAAAGAGAGTGTAAGCCTACTGTTGGGGAAGACGATGTGGGGGAAGGAGAGGGAGTTGATGTAGTCGAGTGTGAACATGGTTGGGCTGGGTGGGGATGGGCACTGCATGGTGCCTCGATTGCAGGGAGTACCGCTGACTGGGAGGGAATACAAGGTGTTACAGGGCCTACCGTTTGAGGAGAGAATGGGATAGAGAGAGACCGTACCGTTGGGCGAGACGATGTGGGGGAAGGAGAGGGAGTTGATGCAATCGAGCGTGAACATGGTGGGGCTGGGGATGGGCGTTGCGAGGGGTTGTGAAGTGAAGGGCCTCAACACACAGCTGATACAAGTAACGGGGCTTACTGTATGGGCATTGAAGCCCAGAACAACATACCGTTGGGTGAGACGATGTGCGGGAAGGAGAGCGAGTTGATGTAATCGAGCGTGAACATGGTGGGGCTGGGGATGGGCGTTGGCACGCGGTGGAGAAGGAACTCCCGTGGCGTGGCGAGGGCCTGAGAGGGGCATAAGGGGCAGGAAAAATGGCAGAAAAGGGTGAGATAAGCTACTGATATTGGTAAGAGTGCTGAGGAAATTTCTCAGGCCCCAATTGTCCCACCTACCAGCACCACTTGCCATCATACTTGCATCTCATACCACTCCCAACCTGTTTGCACCACTCACTCACCCGGGCGACAGGAAGAGGGACGCTGAGAATGGAGGAGTGCTGGCGAATGGTTTCCAAGACACGGTTCACCTGTGCGGAAGGGGGAGGGAGGGTGGGGAGGGGAGAAAAGAGGGGAGGAATGCGAGGAGTGGGGAAGGGGAGAAGGGATGGGAAGGATGGTGAGAATGGACGAGTGCTGGCGAATGGTTTCGAAGACACGATGCACCTGTGGGGGGGGATGGGGAGGGTTGGGAGACGACGAGAAGGGGAGGGAGGGGAGAAAGGAGGTAGGGGAGGAGGGAGGGGAAGGAGATGCTGAGAATGGAGGAGTGCTGGCAAATGGTTTCCAAGACACGGTTCACCTGTCACGGTTCACGGTGGCAGGGGAGGGAGGACAAGTGAGGCAACCAAGGAGGAGTCAGACGTTTGATTTGAGAATGGGCAACGGGAATCAAATCACGACCTCTAAAGTCACTGGAGCAACAACTGGTTTGGCCGTCCGACCTCTAAACCCGACCTACCAAGGCTTTAAGCTAGTTAGAAGTTACCAGGTCCCTGATTTGAAGCACTTCCGGCCCGCCCAGCTCGAACGTCTGCCCACAGCTGCTGCCGTCGTCAGTGACGGTGGCGTTGACTGCCGTTGCCACGTCCAAAACGTACACTGGCTGAATACTGGTCGGCGGGCGGGGAGGGAGGGGAGTATGGGGAGGGGCAACGGGAAGAGGGGGGAAGAGAGGTGTGGAAACACCAAGTATTATCGTCAGTGACGGTTGCGTTGACTGCTGTTGCCACGCCTAGCACATACACTGGCTGGATACTGGAGAGGTCGAGGAAGGGGAGGGAGGGGAAGGAGTGTTGGGGAGAGAGGAGGAAAGGAGAAGTCGAATACGCTGGCTGAACGCTGGCTGGAGGAAGAAGGCAGGGGGGAGGGAGGTAGGTGCAATAGCTGGGACAAACGAATCTTACGGCAATGCCACTTACAGTGCCTTGTTCCCCTTATAACGGGGAAAAAACTATGAATCTACATCGAAACGCCACTTACAGTGTCTTGCCGCCTGCTATAACGGGGACAAACGGGAACTTCTTGGCCATGAGCGCCCAGCTGTTGAGCAGGCGATCCTCCGTGCCGGCCAGAGGGCCCGTCCTCAGGATGGTGGCCTGGTGGTAAAGGGAGGGAGAGAGAGGAACAGGGGAGGAGGTACAAGGAAGAGGGCACGAGCTACTTTGCCATGAGCGCCCAGCCCAGCTGTTGAGCAGCCGGTCCTCCGTGCCCGCTGCCAGAGGACCCGTCCTCAGGATGGTGGCCTGGACTGGAAAAGGGGGAGCGCGGAGGGAAGGAAGAGAAGGGATGAATGCAAGGGAAGCGGGGCCATGGGGAGAAGCGCCCAGCAGAGAACCTGAAACCCAAAATCTTGGACCCTCAAACCACTCACCTGTGGGAACTTTTGAGTCGACTCTAAAGTCACCTAGCGCCCAGCAGAGAACCTGAAATCCAAAATCTTGAACCTGAACCCTGGACAACAAACTCTCACACCACTCACCTGTGGGAACTCCGCCAGCACTGCTGCCTCCCCCAGCGCCTTGGTCTGGTGCTGCTTGGAGGGCGCGTGAGGAGCCGCGCCCAGGCAGGAGAGGTGCACCATCCTTGCAATGCCGCCATGCTCCCTGGCGACCTGGCATGGTGAGGGGTTGGGGAAAGGAGGGGGTTGGGGAAAGGAGGGGGTTGGGGAAGGGCGTTGAGGGTGAGTGGAGCGATGGGAGCAGCGCCCAGGCAGGAGAGGTGCACCATCCTTGCAATGCCGCCATGCTCCCTGGCGATCTGAGAGGAGGGAGGAGGCGGGGAGGGGGGTGAGGGGCGTAGAGTAGAGGTTGGGGAAATGCGCGCGTGGGAAGGAGTAGCGCCCAGACAGTAGAGGTGGACCATCCTTGCAATGCCGCCATGCTCCCTGGCGATCTGAGAGGAGGGAGGAGGCGGGGAGGGGGGTGAGGGGCGTAGAGTAGAGGTTGGGGAAATGCGCGCGTGGGAAGGAGTAGCGCCCAGACAGTAGAGGTGGACCATCCTTGCAATGCCGCCATGCTCCCTGGCGATCTGAGAGGAGGGAGGAGGCGGGGAGGGGGGTGAGGGGCGTAGAGTAGAGGTTGGGGAAATGCGCGCGTGGGAAGGAGTAGCGCCCAGACAGTAGAGGTGGACCATCCTTGCAATGCCCCCATGCTCCCTGGCGATCTGTGGATGACAAGGGGTAGGGGGAAAGGGGGAAACGCGAGGGGGACTATTAATGCGAGGGGGACTATTAATGTGTGGGGGGGCAACGGCCAGGCAGGAGAGGTGCACCATGCGTGCGATGCCGCCATGCTCCCTGGCGATCTGAGGGGGATGATGAAGGGTGCACAAGAGGGCATGGAGCACGAGATATGGAGAGTAAGCAGGGGAATGGACATGTGGGGAGCAGCGCCCAGGCGGGACAGGTGCACCATGCGTGCGATGCCGCCATGCTCCCTGGCGATCTGAAGGGGGGAGGGGGTTGATGTACGGGAAGGAAGGGGAGTGAGAAGAGGAATGGGAGCAGATGAATCAGCGGCGCCCGGGCAAGAGAGGTGCACCATGCGTGCGATGCCGCCATGCTCCCTGGCGATCTGGTGTGTGGAGCAAGGAGCATGCTAGGAATGGAAAAAGAAGGAAGGGAGTAAGCAGAGGAATGACAAGGACCGCACACGGCACAGCATCCTGGCAATGCGCTGAGGTGCTGGGATGTTGCTTACACAGCCCAGGTCAACACAGGTCAACGCAGGTCAACTCAGCTTACCCTGGCAATAAGCTGAGGTGCTGGAATGTTGATGTTATCAAAGCTGAAATTGGGTATACAGCCTCAGTCAACCCAGGTCAACGCAGGTCAACGCAAGTCAATTCAGCTCACCCTGGCAATGCACTGAGGTGCCGAAATGTTGATATCCTCGAAGCTAAGATGGCTCATACAGCCCAGATCAATGCAGGTCAACGCAGGTCAACGCAGGTCAGCCCAGGTCAGATTCACTCACCCTGGCAATGCGCTGAGGAGCTGAGATGTTGATGTCCTCAAAGCTGAAGTTGCGCGTCTCAAAGTCACGGCCTGGGTGGGGTAGGGAGAGGAGGATAGAGGAGGACGGAAGTAGGGAGAGGAGAGGGGGGAGTGACGATGGGAGGAGAGAGGCACCGAGATGTTGATGTCCTCAAAGCTGAAGTTGCGCGTCTCAAAGTCACGGCCTGGAGGAAGAGAGCGGAGGACAGAGGACGGGGGGGGGGGGGGGAGGAGAGGAGGAGAGAGGAGGGGAGGAGGAGAGAGGAGGGGAGGAGGAGAGAGGAGGGGAGGAGGGAGGGAGAAGGGGAGGAGAGAGGCAAGGACATGTTGATGGGCTCAAAACTGAAGTTGCGCGTCTCAAAATCGTGGCCTGGAGAGGGTAGGGCAAAGGCAACAGGGTGCAGATGTGACAAAGAGGGGCGACGAGGAGAGAAGAGGGGTGAGAGGAGGGGGAGGAGAGGCGTGGGCAAAGCTGGTTTGACTTTAAAGAAAGAAAAGAAGAAAATTAAAATCTCAGTTTACCAGAACCGACCTGTTCAGAGCACAGCTACTGACCGATGAGGTTGATGACAACATTCGACTTGGCAATAGCAGCAGCAACGCTCTCATCGCTCCTCACGTCAAACGGAACAGGCACCACCTGATGAGAAAAGGGGGTGGGAGGGAGGGAGGGGGTAAAGGGGGAGAAAGTGAGCGAAGATATTGGTACGAGGGCAGCAACACCAGCAGCAATGCTCTCATCGCTCCTCACGTCGAACGGAACAGGCACCAGATGTTGAGAAAGGACGGGAAAAAGGAGAGGGTAAGGAAAAGAGAGAGAGAGAGATGGAAAACATGTATACGGGAAGAGTGAACGACAGCAAAACGAGTGAGCAACCCCAGCAGCAATGCTCTCCTCCCGTTGCAGACTCCACATTCCACCAAGCCACAGTTACACCTACCGCCTCCAAAAGGTCTCACCTGCCCCCACATTGCTCGCACCCGCCCCAGCCAGGTCTCACCTGCCCAAAGTCGCCACACAGCTTGACTTGAGGTGCCTGTGCTCGTCAGCCAGGTGATATCTCCTGTCCCACATCCCACCTAGTCCAAGTATCATTTGCCCCGAATATCACCTGCCCTATGTCTCACCTGTCCCAGATCGCCACACAGCTTGAGGTGCCTGTGATCGTCCTCCAGGCACCTATATCCTGCCTCACATCCCAGATATCACCTGCCCCGAATAACACCTCCCCTTTACCTCACCTGGCCCAGGTCGCCACACAGCTTGAGGTGCCTGTGGTCGTCCTCCAGGCAGTGATAACGTACCAAGCCCTTGTCTCATACTCCTGCAACTAGCCCCACAGATCTCACCTTCCCCAGGTCTCACCTGCCCCAGGTCGCCACACAGCTTGAGGTGCCTGTGATCGTCCTCCAGACAGCGATAGGGCACCATCACCTGCGAGCCAGAGCGTGCTGTGGGGGAGAGAGGGAAGTGGGGGTGAGGATATGGGTGGAGGAGATATGAGACGAACGGAATGAGGTGCCTGTGATCGCCCTCCAGGCAGCGATAGGGCACCATCACCTGGGAGCCAGAGCGGGCTGTGAGGGGGGAGAGCGCGAGAGGGTGGGAGAGAGAGGGAGGTTGGGAGATATGGAGGGTAGAAGAGGCAACGAAAGAGGTGCCTGTGATCGCCCTCCAGACAGCGATAGGGCACCATCACCTGGGAGCCAGGGCGGGCTGTGAAGGGGGAGAGCGCGAGAGGGTGGGAGAGAGAGGGAGGTTGGGAGATATGGAGGGGATGTGAGAGGAACGGAATGAGGTGCCTGTGATCGCCCTCCAGGCAGCGATAGGGCACCATCACCTGCGAGCCAGAGCGGGCTGTGAGGGAGAGAGAGGGGGAATGGAAAGGGGTATCGTCACTTGGGACTGGAGGCGGGCAGTGGAATCATAAAATCAACTTAGTGAGAGAGAAAAAAAGAATCTGTATAGCGAAACTTGGGCAGGAAATGAGAAAGAAAACACTTATTAGCAAGCGAATCACTTACCTAGCTGCTGCACCACGTATCTCCCCAGAAAGCCCGTGGCGCCAAACACAGTCGCGACCATGCCACTGCAGGGAGACGGGAGCACATGCAGGGAGGGGAAGGGGGCAGAAGAACACGAACACGTTTAGAACACGTTCCTTGAAGATTTAGAAAAAATCATCAGAAAAAAGGAGCGTACGGAGAAACAACAGGAAGGGAGGCGGCACTCAGACCGACAGTTGTGCTATTCGGCGCTCACCTGACCGACGAGCGTAATTTTGAGTCGACTCAAAAATGGGGAAACGACAGGAAGGGAGTCGTCTCCCGGGCCGACAGTTGAGTCGACTAAAAAATGGGGACATTTTTGGTGGCTCAATCCCGGGCGTATTTTTGAGTCGGCTCCCGGGCCAACAGTTGTGAGATTCGGCGCTCACCTGACCGACGAGCGACCGCCAGGGCCGCGCGCGGCGACGCTGCTGCGAACAGCGAGCGACGTCGCAGTGCGGCTGGCGATGGACGGCGACAGATCGCCAGCGCTGCTGCTGACAGCGGAGGTTCCTGCGAATCGGGAATGCGGGGAGAGAGATCGGGCTGGGAAATGGAGGACGGCGGAGGACGTGGCAGTGCGAAACCCTTCGCAGTGCTTTGCTGTCTTTCGCCCTTCCCTTGTACTGCGGACGACAGAGGACGTGGCACTGCGAACGTACTGAGCTGTATCACACCAACTTTTTTAATCAACTAAAAAAATCACCGCAAAGGTACTGAGCTGTATCTCACAGCGCTACCAGCAAGAAAACGACAGCCCCGCATTGCTAGAAACGGTTACCACAAGTCACCCGACCCCGTCTATCCGGATCGCCGTCAAAGACGAAAATTATTCAGGGTCGTCAGATGATGAGATCGCGATCGTCATCGCGTTATCAGATCGTCGCATCAAAGTGTATCATCGGATCGTCTTACCATGAACTGCCTGCCACTCAGTGTTTCCCATGAACTCTCACGAGTGGGAAATCTCGTGGTTATGTAATGTCGAGTATAAGATCTCAAATGGACTAACGAGCTAGTTTCGGATCGTCTCACCATGATCATCCACGAGCGGGAACACACGCGGCTTTTCTGAGATACTCAAAGTAGCTATCGTAATAACTATTCGCATCGCCTCACCACGCACATCCACGAGCGGACACACATGCGGCTCTCCCCTCACCGTGAATATCCACGAGCGGGAACACGCGCGGCGCCGACGACGCCAGCAACCGCGCGAATCCCGAGGCTTGCCTTCGCGACAGCATGACTACAATCGAGACGGCTAATAACGGAGGCTCTGCGAGGCGCGAATGACTGGAAGGACGAGACCAGACGGGTAGCCCAAGTGGTGCTGATCGGTGCGGCGTGGTGCTGAGAGGTGCTGAGAGGTGTTAACTCAGGCCACAAAGCTCAGAAATCAAGCGCGGATCCCCCGCTCGAGATCGCTCCAGGAGCTCAGGATACGATCTGGCTCCACGGAGAGAAAAGCGGCAAGCCCACTAACGGACTTACTACTGACCTAGAAGCGATCTAGGTTTGAAAGGCTACTACACCAGATGCCCGTTGCAGACCCACAAGGTTACTCGTCATTTTGGGTGTGAAGTGAGCACAATCATTTCACCTGCCTCGCCAACATTCTCAACGGGACTTTAGTAAGCACGTTGTTACGAGTGCAATTGAGCAAGCGAGCGAAAAATCCACTATCGAAGCAAAACAGTACATTGAGCGAAGGCATGAGCGAAGAATATATAGCGAAGCTAGGGTGGTAACGGTAATGTGTGAAAATGGGGTGCGCTACGGGCCTAGCGCCGAGGCTGGGAATTGTCGAGGCGGAGGTCCGGAGCGCGGGTTACCAACCGAACCGTGAGGTTGGGTCGCGTCGTGAACAGTGGAAGGAACAGTAGTCGAGGCGAGTGTCGCGAGTGGTAACGGTGCATTGTTGAGAGTTGTTGGCGGAAACAGTGATGCACGCGCCGAGCAGGGACGCGAAGTAAGGAAAACAAAATTTCCTTACACTACCCCCCCCCTCTAAGGAGACCGTCCTTACGAAAGCGCGTGTATCCAGGGGAACCCAGTTGTCTTCGGTTGGCGTTCGGTCTTTCCAGCGGATTAGAAATTCGATCATGCGAGCTCCACGTGGGTCATGAACTCGGTGGCTTAGTATTTTTTCGGGCGTGATGATTGGCTCTGTTTCGTGTCATGCTGGCTAGGAGGTTGCGGAGTAGTTGGCTGGTGGATGGTATGTATGGGCGAAGCAGGCTCACGTGGAAAGACAAGCTGACGTACCATTCAGCAGGAAAGAGGAGGTGGCCGGTAAAGAGGGTAAAGAGAGTTTTGGGGTGATGGGCAGGCGGAGGTTCTGTGTGTCGGGATGGTAAGTGATGGGTTGGCGGTGGCGGTCGGCGTTGCGCTTAGCGATGATGTTTGATTTTTTTATTGCGTCTGCTACTCGGGTCCGTGCTGTCTGTAAAATTTCGGCGAATTGTTGCGCTCGTGGCACCGAGTTGTCGGGATTCGGGGTCATGGGTACTATGGAGTCTTGTCCGTAGTGAAGGTAGAAAGGTGACTGTTGGGTCGTGGCGAAGGGCGAGTTGTTGTATGCGAATTCGATGAGTGGTAGGTGCTGTTCCCACGTGGTCGGGTCGTCGCACCTGATTAAGTGTTCCATGGTTTGGTTTGTCTGTTCTGTCTATCTGACAGTCTCGGGGTGGTATGACGAACTAAACTCTAGTCGCGTGCCGAACCACTGCCATAGGTTCCGCCAGAAGTTGCTGGTGAATTTTGTGTGGCGGTCGCTGTTGATTGCCGCTGGTATCCCGTGCAGTCGAACGGCGGTGGCGATGAAGAGGCGGGCTGTTTCTTCGGCTGTGAATTTTGTAGGCTGCGAAAGGTGCCATCTTCATCAGCCGATCGAAGACGACCAGGATCGCGTCGTTCCCACTTGCCCCGTAACGAAGTCCATCGTCACCTGCAGCCAAGCACGCTCTGGGGGTGGTATCGGCTGCAACTGTCCTGCCGGCCGCTTCCGTGATCATTTCATGGATTGGCAGGTGGGACACGATGCCACGTGTCGTTGCACGTCGGTCAGCATCTCGGGCTAGTAATCATACCACTGCAGCTGCTGCCAGACTGCCCAACGCGTCACTTTGATCGGTCCACTGCACTTGATGCCTCTATTGTTTTTGCTAGTCCACTAGATTATACTGTTTCCTGCATCCACAGCAAGTGTTTCCATTCCGTTCAATGTGGTTTCAGGGTTTGAGCGCTTGAACTCTGCCGGGTACGCTCGTTATATGTGCCCATACTGACCAGACTGCCCAACGCGTCACTTTGATCGGTCCACTGCAGAAAGTGTTTCCATGTGGTTTGCAGGATTTGAGCGCCTGAACTCTGCCCGGTACGCTCCTTATATGTGCCCGTACTGACCAGACTGCCCAACGCGTCACTTTGATCGGTCCACTGCAGAAAGTGTTTCCATGTGGTTTGCAGGATTTGAGCGCCTGAACTCTGCCCGGTACGCTCCTTATATGTGCCCGTACTGACCAGACTACCCAACGCGTCACTTTGATCGGTCCACTGCATTAGATGCCTCTTTTTTATAGCTAGTTAACTAGATTATACAGTTTCCCGCATCCACAGCAAGTGTTTACATTTCGTTCCATGTGGTTTGCAAGACTTCAGCGCCTGAACTCTGCATGGTACACTCATAATATGTGCCCATACTGACCGGACTGCCCAACGCATCACTTTGATTGGTCCACTGCATTCGATGCCTATTCGTTCAGGCTAGACCCCTAGATTAGACTACTTTCCGCATCCACAGCAAGTGTTTCCCTTTCGTTCCATGTGGTTTGCAAGATTTGAGCGCCTGAACTCTGCCCGGTATGCTAACCATTTTCATTACCATTACCACTACCATTACCATTACCACTACCATTACCATTACCATTACCATTACCACTACCATTACCATTAGCAGCTGAGTGTGTGAGCAACGAACCTTAGTGTGCGAGCAGCACAACTGACGGTGCGAGCCACGCAGCTGAGGGTGCGAGCAACACACCTGATTGTGCGAGCAACGAACCTGAGTGTGCGAGCAACGTAGCTGAGGGTGCGAGCAACGCAATTGAGGGTGCGAGCAACGTAGCTTAGTGTGCGAGCAACAAAGCAGAGAGTGCGAACAACGATGCTGAGGGTGCGAGCTACGCAACTGAGGGTGCGAGCAACGCAACTGAGTGTGCGAGCAACGCAGCTGAGTGTGTGAACAGTGCAGCTGAGCGTGAGAGCAACGCAGCTGAGTGTGTGAGAATAGCATCTGAGTTTGCGAGCAACGATGCTGAGGGTGCGAGCAATGCAGCTGATTGTGCGAGCAACGCAGCTCATCGTCGCGAACAACGCAGCTGAGGGTGCGAGCAACGCAGCTGAGTGTGCGAGCAACGCAACTGGGGGTGCAAGCGACACAGCTGAGGGTGCGAGCAACGCAGCTGAGTGTGCGAGCAACGCAGCTCAGGGTGCGAGCATTGCAGCTGAGTGCGCGAGCATCACAGCCGAGTGTGCGAGCAACCCAGCACAGCGTGCGAGCAACGCAGCTGAGCGTGCGAGCAACGCAGCAAAGCATGCGAGCAACGCAGCAGAGCGAGCGAACAACGCAATTGAGGGTGCGAGCAACACAGCTGAGCGTGCGAGAAACACAGCAGAGGGTGCGAGCAACGCAGCTGAGTGTGCGAGCAACGCAGCTGAGTGTGCGAGCAATGCAGCTGAGGGTACGATCAATGCTGATAAGGGTGCGAGCAGCCCAGCTGAGTGTGTGAGCAATGAACCTGAGTGTGCGAGCAACGCAGCTGAGGGTGCGAGCAATGCGGCTGAGGGTGCGAGCAACGCAGCTGAGTGTGCAAGCATCGCAGCTGAGGGTTCGAGCAATGCAGCTAAGGGTGCGAGCAACGCAGCTGAGGGTGCGAGTAACGCATCTGAGTGTGCGAGCAACGCATCTGAGGGTGCTAGCAACGCAGTTGAGGGTGCGAGCATAGTAGCTGAGTGTGCAAGCAACGCAACAAAGTGTGCGACCAACACAGCTGAGGATGCTAGCATCGTAGCTGAGGGTGCGAGCAACGCAACTGAGGGTGCAAGCAACGCAGTTGAGGGTGCGAGCAGCGCAGCTGAGTGTATGAGCAACGCCGATGAGGGTGCAAGCAACGCAGCTGAGCCTGCGAGCAATGCAGCTGACGGTGCGAGCAACGCATATAAAAGTGTGAGCAACGCAGCTGAGTATGCGAGCAACCTTGCTGAGGGTGCGAGCATCGCAGCTGAGGGTGCGAGCAAAGCAGCTGAGTGTGCAATCAACGCAGCTGAGCATGCGAGCAACGCAGCTGAGGGTGCGAGCAACGCGGCTGAGCATGCGAGCACTGTAGCTGAGGGTGCAAGCAATGTACCTGTGTGTGCAAGCAACGCAGCTGAAGGTGTGAGCATGCTGCAGAGGGTGCGAGCAACGCAGCTGAGTGTGCGAGCAATGCAGCTGTGGGTGCGATCAACACTGATGAGGGTGCGAGCAACGCATCTGAGTGTGTGAGCAACGAACCTGAGTGTGCGAGCAATGCAGCTGAGGGTGCGGGCAATGCGGCTGAGGGTGCGAGCAACGCAGCTGAGTGTGCAAGCATCGCAGCCGAGGGTTTGAGCAACGCAGCTGAGGGTGCGAGCAACGCAGCTGAGGGTGCGAGCATCACTTCTGAGTGCGCGAGCAACGCATGAGAGCGTGCAAGCAACACAGGTGAGCGTGCGAGCAACGCAGAAGAGCATGGAGCAATGCAGCTGAGTGTGCGAACAACGCAGCTGAGGGTGCAAGCAACACAGCTGAGTGTGCGAGCAATGCAGCTGAGATTGAGAGCATCGCAGATGAGTGTGTGAAGAACGCAGCTGAGGGTGCGAGCAACGCAGCTGAGTGTGCGAACAACACAGCTGAGCGTGCGAGCAACACAGCTAAGGGTTCGAGCAGCGCAGCTGAGCATGCGAGCAACACAGCTGAGGGTGCGAGCAACGCAGCTGAGGGTGTGAGCAACGCAGCTGAGTGTGCGAGAAACGCAGGTAAGTGTGTGAGCAACGCAGCTGAGGGTTCTAGCAACGCTGTTGAGGGTG